GCCAAAAAGAAGAACTACAGAACATCTTTTCCGAAACCACATCTCTGAACATTTAACTCACCCAGGGTTCACTGTCCTATACAGCAGTTACCTTTTGGTTTATAATGTAACTGGACATATTTGATACCTTCTTATCTAAATCTCCAGGATAGCACACTAAGAACTCAGTTCGCAGGTGGTCATCCAATAGTATTCCTCCAAGATAAAGAAAAAAAACCCCCTAGCAGAGGCTGTGTAACTCATGTGAAAACAGACTAAAATATTTGGGGAAGAATTTCAGCAACAGTGACCAGAACTAAAATGGAGAAGCCTAATTAACCCTCCATTAACCAGAACATCCTCTCCCTCTAGGAATTTTGGTTAATCACAGCTTTATTGCACTCTTGAGGATTTGTAGTCACCCACTCAACCTGGGATGCCAATGGCCCAGAGGACACGGTGTTGCCCAGCAAGTCCCTACGTGACCTGCTTCAATGTTTGAGTGGTGTGCACTTTCACTTCTAGGTAAATACCCCCAAATAACTGGAAGAGGGAACTCCAACAGATATCTGTACACAAGCACATGAAAAGATGCTCAACATCCCTCATCATTAGGGAAAAGCAAGCCAAAACCACAATGAGGCATCACTTTACACCAGTTAGGATAGTTACAGTTAAAAACAACAACAACAGAAAATCGCGTGTTGGTGAAGATGTAGAGAAACTGCAACCCTGGTACACAGTTGGTGGGAATGTAAAATGGTACAGTGACGATCGAAAGCACATGGCAGTTCCTCAAAAAATTAGAAATAGAATTGCCATATGATATGGCATATGGTATATATGGGTATATACCCAAATAATTGAAATTAGGTTCATAGCAGCATTATAGGCAAAAAGTAGAGGCAATCCAAATATGCATTAATGAATGACCGGATAAACAAAATGTGGTATATACATACAATGGAACACTATTCAGCCTTAAGACGAAATGGCATTCTGATACAAGCTATAACCTTAAAGACAGTATGGTAAGTGAAATAAGCCAGAAGCAAAAGGACAGAAATTGTATGAATCCACTTTTGTGAGGTACCTGGAATAGTCAAATTCATGCAGACAAAACAGAATGGTGGTTACCAGGGGTTGGAGGGTTGGCAGGAAAAGGGGAGTTACTGTTCAGTGGGTCCGGAATTTCAGCCGGGAAAAATGGAAAAGTTCAGGAGGTGGATGGGCGGTGATAGCTGTACAAAAATGTGAATGTACTGAATGTCACTGAATTGTGTGCTTAAAATCGATTAAATGATACATTTTACGTTACTTGTATTTTGCTACAGTAGAAAAAAATTTAATTAAAAAAAAAATGGGTGCTCCTAGAATGTTACTTGCATGTATGCGCCAGAATGATCACAGGCCATTTGTTCTCTTCTGAATCTTAATCCCTGGTCTATTTGTGCTGTGGCAGGATCCTCGGTCTTGGCCGTGGTCTCTGTTCCCACCATCCGCTAAGGAGCGTCTGATTAAGTGGCATTGCTGTATCCACATGTGATTTACAAAAATAATATTTTATCCTCACCATCAGTACTGTTTGTGGCTGCACACTGAATAGGAATAATTTCGGAAGGTTCCAGCTGGCCTTCTTCAAAAGGTAAAGAAAATCCAACATTTTTAAGGTTTCTCCAATCTTTTGTTGTTTCAAGTGAATGCTTCCTCTAAAGGACGATTTCAGCATTTCTGGGATCTATTAAGAAGAGCATAATGAATGTTACAGAGCCAGCCAACTTAAAAAAAGAGACAGAGAGAGAGAGAAAGAAGAAAATATTGCCGACTTGCCGAAATCCCCCCCACCCTCTTTATACCAAAGGAGCCATATCTTCATGCCATAATAAATGCAAACTTGGAAAGGCTCACAAACCCGCCTGCCTCTTCAGCTAATGACAGCCTCAATTATGGGGCCTAATCCTGCATTCCGGACACTCCCCTTATCCCTGCATAACTTCCAGTGGAGTCAAAAGGCCCTCAGCCCCTGGCCCTGGCAGGGAAACATTAGTTATGCAGGAGCAGCGCCTGGGGCGTGCTGGCAAATTTAAGGGTCTGTTCATATAACAACACACACTTGGAAGCCTTAAATCCTCATGCTTTGACTCTCCGCCTTATACTGAAATAAAAAGCCACAGTAACTCCGTTAAAAAATATAAAATTCCTCCACAGGAAATGAACACTAGTTTGCTTCTAATTTATATCGGTTTTAGGCTTCTCCTTTCCCCACCCCCTTTTTACTTTTCACGTTAGTGTCCAGCTCTATGGAAAATATTTTCCTTAAGGACAAAAAATAAACATGAGCATTGTGCTCGGTCTTCGCGTTTTATTTACTAAACTGGGCAAAACAGCTTGGATTTACTGGCTCTCACCCTCCAGTAAATGATTGGGAATCCCTTGCAAATACACCCATAGGCCACTCCCTTAAGTCGCCCTGTGAGGGACATCTGAAGACCTCTGGCTTATTGAGAAGTGGCCTTGTTTTGTTAAACTAATCATCCTGCCAGCTACATTAATAACAAGACTATAACTCATTTTCATCCTAGGCACACACTGTGTATTATCAGTCTCCTAATTAATCCCAGGCAATTCAGGGGGCAGGTATTACTACTTCCAATTTTCCTCACTGCTCCTCATGCCAGAGACTCGGCAAACAGAGGGTCAATGCTCTGTGTCTTGCAGGCATGCCCCTGAGTCCCAGCCCAGAGCCCACTCCACCCCAGACACCCCTCCCTCTGGACGGGGGAAGCCCTGGGAATGAGCACACCCCTGCTGATCTCTGAGGCGGTGGGGCTTCCTCACGGGAGAAAGAACCTGGGGTCAGCAGACATCCGGCAAGCCTGCTTAATGGACAAAGTCAACAGCAGCTTCCCTGGAGTCAGAAAATAAAGTCGGGGCCTTGGGACACTGCACACGGCTGGGCCTGTGCTCTGGGCAGCTGAGACTCCTCCCCACTAAGTCCTCACACCCACCTTGTCCCTCCCCCCGTGCGGGTGGGGGTGGCTCCAGACTTCACACCCCCCACCAGCAGGCTGCTAGCTGTTCAAAGTCAGGATCTTGGGCTGAGTGTTCAAACCCCTCCACCACACATGCACAGTCATAATCCTAGGGCCTTTGAAGACATAATCCCCCAAACAGGAGATTCTTACTGTTGCTGAAAAAGTAGCTTCCCTTCCTCTTCTCACCTCCCTGGTTCAGAGTCCAAAAAGGCACGTGTTCAACCATGAACATGAGCATCTATAAACACTCTCAAAAAAGGACCAGCTCGCTCAACTGCTGGGGCCCTTAGTCCCTGGAAAATCTTCTCTTGTTGCATTTGAAAGAGCTCTAAGCTTCGGGTCTGGAGACCTGTGTTCAAGTCCTAACTCTCCTCTTAACCTGATTGGTACTTAAAACTCCCCAAGCCTCGATTTTCTCATTTTTAAAGTGGGGATAATCGTACTTGTACGGCCCCCTTCCTTTGCAGGGCAGCTGTGAAACAACAGTCCTTCCTGGTCGCCTTCAAAAGCTTCTCTTCTTGCCAGTCAGTGATGTTGGGAGTTCCTCAGCACACGGGCCCTGACCTCTCTCTGTTTTCACTCGCTCTCCCTAGGTGAGCTTAGCCAGACCAGCACCGCGCCCAGCGGGCCGGGGATTCCATTTTAGGGTTTCTGTGCCCAGGTGTGGTGAGCGCACTTGCACTCTTCAGAGGGCAGCGCTCAAGCTATGAGAGTTGCTTTGCCTGCAGGTCAAAGGGGTAGAGAGCCAGGATTTGTGTTAGTTACAGTTGAGGTGTAACTTAAGTGACTCGGAGTTCCCCTTGGAGATCCCGCCTGCCCTCTCCAGTGTGTTGTCCTGGATCACACTCTTGCTTAGCTGCTGCTTCTTCCCTGCTCTTACTTAACCTTACCTCCCTTTCCGGGTTCCCCAGGAGCACTTACCAAGTAACTTACACATGACTCCTCATCTCAGGGTCTGTTCCTAGGGACCTTCTCCAGTAATATGTCTCCAGCCAGACTTCACTCAGCTCTAGACCCATATAACTAAATATCTCCTAATCCCCTTGCATTTCTCAATGGCACCCCAAGGTCAACATAAGCAAAACGGAACTCATGGCCTTCCCACATCCCCAAGCCTGGATGCCTATCAGTGTTCCCCTACTCAATGAATCCCAGCCCTTTCACACACACACCCCGCCAGCCACTTCACAATGTAGAATCCTAGGACTCTCCCTAGTACCGCCCTTCCCTTTGAATCTTCCTTCTGCCACACCCCCCACTCCATACAGGCCATCTTCAAGCTCCTACCGATTTTATCTACTGAATGACGCACCTAAACTCTACAAAACTCCCATCAACTCCCACCACCACCACCGTGTCCAGGCCACCACCAACTCTTTTTAGGATACCTACAATTCCCTCCGATAGATTTACCTACTTTCCTTCGGGTTTCCAACGTCAGTGATTGTTCCAAAACAATCGAATCCAATCGAACACTACCCTACACAACACTCTTCCATAGATCTCTACTGCTGCTGAGTACAAAATTCCTCACCCTGGCCACCAGGCCCTTCGTGATGCAAGCCCGCCTCTCTTTTCACTCCAGCCTGGGTCATTGGCCTCTTTTGGTTCTTCCACCCAGCCTGCTCTTCCTTCCCCTCCGCACCGCGGCCGTTCTGTCCAGGCCTTTCACTCAGCCGGAGCACCACTTTCTCAAGGTAATTCCATCCGATCTCAGATTCCCGATTTCAGGTTCCTGCAGCACCACCCTATCTCTTCTTAATACCTGCCACAGTTGCAGGGTGTTGCAGTCAAGAGACCGCAAACATGCATCTGTGTGATCAGGTGCTACGCAGCTTCAACCCAGTCCGGGTTCGCCACTTTGCCCTTGGCAACAGCCAGCAGGCACTCCGCGAACGTCGTCATAACCAGACTTTGAAGACCCGAGTCTGGAGGGGTAGGGGGAGCGGAGGGGGTGTTTCCTTCGGTACGAGCAGGGACAGTGTCTGTTCTGTCCGTGGGATCTCCCTGCGACTGCTCTGCCTCAGGCGCGTGTGACCTGGGAAATCAGAGGACTATGCTCTGAAGTAAGAGCTGTGCTCTCCTAGGAGAGGGAGGTATTAGTTCCCAAATGTCAGGCTGGTATTATCCCCTTCTCAAAAAGGAGGATACAAACAAACTACATGTTTAATCATCTAACTGCCTGTTTTTTTTTAATTTCTCCAATTAAAAGGGCAAAGAAGCCATGGTGGCGTGCCTACAATAGCCAAGCTCGAAGCTTCGATGCGTATCCTCACTCATCCTCACCGCGACTGCTCGAGGTCTTGCTCGCCCCATTTTAAAAGAAGAGCGGACTGTGAAGCTATATATCTTACCTGAGACCACAGGGTGAGTGAGCGGATGGGTCGGGACTCTCGGGGCAAGGCCGCCTGAGGGCCCCGCCCAGCTCCCGGCCCCGCCCAGATCCCGGCCCCACAGGGCTCCACCTGCGCGTCCCGACCTTCGTCTGCAAAGTTTCATGTGTTCAAAAAATGTTCCTCTGTGAATGTCTCCTATTCCTAAACGAAGTCAGATCGCTTCTGCTTTATTTCTTGGTGCAAATCACCAGAAAGGCTTTTCTTCTGATCCAGCCGAGACCGTATTTTGAAATAGTGTGATTCAAAGCAGAGACGTTGTGAGAAACAAGGACCAGGTATTATTTTGGTGACGCCCTGAAACTAGTAGCTTCTCTATAAGCACATGGGAAATAACATTTGACCTCCCTCTCATTGGACTATTGTGTGAACATGAAGTATTAGAAGTTCCTTGCTCTACTTATTTTCCTCTGTCAGCATTCCGCTTGTTTTCCAGACCAAGAGCTTGACTTATTTTATGAAAATGAAACGCTCTCTTTGAAAGCATAAAAATGAAGTTTTTCTCTTTAATTGCTGCATGACTACAATTACTGTAGTTTGAGAATGGAATGGAATAAATTTCAAATAGGGCCAATGCTTTTGAACAGGGAAGGAAATCCAAGTGTCTTCATTTTGCCCCCACCCACTAGACAGAACCCAGGCAGCCCAAAGTAAGCAACACATCTGAAGCCGAGGCTTTGTCTGGGACTTTGAGGCAGGCCATAGGCAGTGACCACAGCCTCAGAATCCAGAAAGCAAGAGCATGCCCTTCCTGCTTCTCCTGGAATCCATTTTATATTTCCACAAATTTTGCATGCTTTGCACTTCTTTGTCACTAGGCTTGTCTTGATTTGATAATTCCTTATGGTTTACCCAGGTTGAGGAGTCAAAGGAGAAAATCAAATTCTCAAGCTTGGACAGAGCTCTGATAATGCTCACACTCAGAGCCAGCATTTTGACAACTCTGTGCAGTTTATACAATGCTTTTATGCATGAACTTTGGGGCTGAGGCTTTCTGCCCTCTTTCTGGAATATTCTATCCAGATCTTCCTTTCTCTTAGTTCAGATCTCAACTCAATGTCATCTTCCCTGTCTACCCCTGTGAGCGGGCCTTTATACAACTGTGTATTTTTCCCAAAGCTCTCAACACTCTCTGAAATGACCTTGTCTTTTTGTTTCCTTGATGGCTACCTCTCTCCCCACCACTAGAATGTCAGCCCCACAAGGACAGGGATTTGTCTTAACACTCCTGCCTCCTGGAGGCCAAAAACAGTGCCTGGCCATTAAAAACACTCAGGATTTTTCCTTGTACTGGTGGATGTGTGAACAACTTCATTTGAGCATTGTGGTCCTGTAAGGTAGCTCTGATCTTCACTTTAGAGGTGGGGAACCCACATCTCTGTGAGATTAAGCCACTAGCCTGGAGCCTCACGACCTGTCTGTGGCAGAATCATAACTCAAACCCAGGTCTTCTCCTCTGGTTTGGAATCTTCAGATGGGAAGGAAAGTGAACTTTTACTCAAAATTGGGCCATGCTGGGCACTCTTAAAGGCAATTTCCCCATCAGAGATCATTAAATGTCAACAGTTTGGAGTATAAAAGTCCTGATAAAACCCTGGGTCTATTCCTCACATCAGAGACGGAAAAGCACCTGCAAAATGAGCTTAATGGCACAGCACAAGACTGCTTCCAAAGGCAGCTCGTGGGTGGCTTGCTGCCCCTCTGTCCTTGCACACCACAGACCCTTTCCCATCCCTGCCTTCCCTGGCCTTGGACCTCACTGGCCTCTGGGTCCCTCATTCCAGGAGACTCTGGCCTGGCTCTAGACTTTCCACAATTTTTCTGACATCCTAATTTCTTGATCACCTGTGCTGACACGATCCTGATTTCCCTCAATATGTCTTTTTTCCACTCCTGGGAAATTTATGTCTGTTCTGGCATCTGTCCCCTTCTTCCTTTGTGAAAAGAGAGGCAAAGAGGGGAAATAAAAATGCCTTTTAATATTTTTTCACAATGTCTTCATGTTCTGTCAATAAATTACCTCTGCCAGCTTTTAGAAGCCCTATTGGCTCTTGTACTGACCTTTCGTTCCTTCTGTGCTTGGAAAATGCCTTATTATTTATCTTAGCCTCTTGCAATCTTTTCATTCCTCACCTTTGCTTTCCTTCTCATGTTTTTGCACTTTCTTAACTTTGTGCTATAATTTCTCTCGCTGAGTTGCTGTTGGATTTTTTTTTTCAGAGTTTCTCGCTTTCCTAGTTTTGATTACTTCCCTTACCACCACCACATCCTTTTTAGAGCTATTTGTTTGGCCTCTTTTCGACACTTCACGTTGCTAGGGAGCTCGTCTTTTCTTTGGGCAGTTTCTATTCATTTCTCTCTGACGTCACTCTTCCATTGGGAACTGTTCTTAGCACCCTTGGATCTCCTTGGGAGGAGCTGAGAAATTTTGCGCCCTCTGGAACCCCTGCGCATCCCTCTAAGAGAGTCCTCATTCCTGCTGAGACTTACTTGGACTGCGGAGTCCCCCGTCGGGCTGCCATCAAGAGAAAGCCAGGTGCCTCGATTTACACATCACTTGAGTTTCCCCAAGTCAAACCGCCTGTGGGTACAAGTGGGGTCACTTTACGGTGGTGTTCTGTGCACACTGGCAGGTGGTTGAATGACTCCTATCTGCTCACTAACAAGACTAGTCAGCTATGAATGAATCCTGCTGAGCTCCTGGGCCAATGTCCACCTTCTGGATGCCATTCTGTCCCCCAGGTACTGCTGCTAATGCTGGGCACTGCAGCCACCTCTGTGGGGCATTGTTACATCGACTGGTGCCACCAAGCTGTCCCCAGACACCTGCATTGCCACGACAGAGGCTGTAGCTCTCAGTATCTCAAAGCCATGCTGCATCTGGGTAGAAGACATCCTCTCTCCCACAGTGTGCTTTGTCCCCAGGTGTCAGGTTGCTATTGCCTGGGTCTTTAGAGCTTCCAGGGAAGCAGAGTGGGTTTTTTTTCCCCCTTCCAGCTTTCCTTTACTGCTCTTCAGACAGGAGTCAGTGCAGCTTGGGTCAGGTACACTTAGATACTGTTTGCCCCTTGATGCTGAGGCAACATATGTCTGTCCATCTTGTCTTCCATTAGAATGTGGTCCCCTGTAAGTGGTTCCTTAGTTTTGTCTGCAAAAGGACTTTGGGTGGGCATGTGGGTGGCTCAGTCAGTTAAGCCGTCTGCCTTCAGCTCAGGTCATGATCTCAGGGTCCTGGGATCTAGCCCCACAATGGGCTCCCTGCTCAGTGGGAAGCCTGCTTCTCCTTCTCCCTCTGCCCCTCCTCCTGCTTGTGCTCTCTCTCTCTCTCTCTCAAATAAATAAATAAAATCTTAAAAACAGGATTTGGGGTGAAGATACCCAACTACATCCACCCCATAATGGTCACAACTATACACATTGTTCTTTGGACACAAGTAGAGCCCAGTTCTGACATCTGCCAAAGTCCCATGAAATCTCTGTTCTCAGTTGTCAACTTAAACAACATCCCGAGGGGCGCCTGGGTGGCTCAGTTGGTTAAGCGTCTGCCTTCAGCTCAGGTCATGATCCCAGGGTCCGGGATCGAGCCCTGCATTGGGCTCCCTGCTCAGTGGGGCCTGCTTCTCCCTCTTCCTCTGCTTGCCGCTCCCCCGGCTTGTGTGTGTATGAACACACACTCTCTCTCTCTCTGTCAAATAAATAAATAAAATCTTCAAAAAAAAAAACCAATCAGTACAAAGTTTATTCAGACTTACACATGCCAGGTGCAATGCTATATTCTAGAATTACAATGATCAGTGCAGTTCAGGTTTGTACCTTTCTTTTGTAGAATTAAAGTTCTGGTGAAGGAGGGATCCACATGAAAATAAGCTTTAATCATATTTTTGGTGGTAAGATAAAGGTGTTTGCATGCGAGCCCTGGGAGCACAGAGGAGGAGCTAATAATCCCTCCTGGAAGTTTATGGCAGATTTTCTATATTCCCGGAGTGTTCACATGAGTAGGTTCACTGCAGTAAATATGCCACTCGTACACCCCGTCCACACCCACTCACATCTCAAAAGGTGTATTAACCACCTACATCACCCCCTATGACTCCCAGGCACCAATCCTCCAATCAAATATCAATGACTGAATCTGGACTGATGGCAGTCTCTGTTGTGGGAATTTGGAATGAGAAAACCGAGAGTTTAAGTCAGGTGTACCCACAGGATGATGGGTACTTGACCCGAAAGGTCATAGAGAATTGGTCTGAAGTTGCTACCCAAGCAAACCAGGACCACCATGAGGCTATATGATCTGTAAGATCATCTGTTGTAATTCTGTATTAACACTCCTCTTTACGTCAGCTAGTTCAACTGGATTTCTTTGCTTTGCAACCAGAGCCTTAATTAATATAAGCTTCCAGTTGCCCAGCTATAGCCTACTGGCGCAAATTTTCCTCCTTTACTCGGCAAATGCCTGCTGAGTCTTCATTACCTGGCTTCAGTGTTGCCTCCTTTCTGAAGCCTTCCCTGACAGCTCCGCCTTCCTGATCCTTCAAGACTCTGCTCGTAACCATTACATTGTGGCGTCACTGATCTATCTAAAAACACTCCACTCTCCAGACCACGAGGTCCTCAAAGGGAGAGCCCCGTCTTAGTGCCTGCTACCCAGAAGGTGTTCAGTCAATGTTTGCAGAATTGCTTCAGTGACTCTGAGTTGGTTCTGGAAGCAGCCTGCCAGTTGGCACACCACGCTATCTGCCACTCAATCTTCCTGGCTCTCGAGGGGTTCTGAGTTTATGCTGACTTTGCTAACTTACCATTTCACTCCCAGTTCCATCTTTTCTCAGTCCTCCCTGGTGTCTGCGATTTCTCAGCTTGCTGGGTCCCCCCTGCTTTGTGCAAACTTCACTACCCTTGGATCAGTGACAATTCTAAGGCGACCCCCCTCTCCCCCCGGGGCAGAGCACATGCTGTTTCCTAGGGTTCTAGAAC